ACCTATTTGCGGAAAATCTCTTTTTCTCGATCAACGGAATTAAATATAAACGTGGAGTACGAATCATCTCTCCTTTATTTTCCTAATTAAACGTTAAACGTCAATTAAACGTTAAACAGAAGTAAAGCGCGCGGCCCCCGGATTGAGAGTATTAAGACGCTCGAAATTCGACCAAAATCGTTTCTCATCGATTGTGATCTATAAAGTGTTACTTTTATAATGCTAAACTACTAAGTCGTTCTTATTCATCATTCTTATTTTGCTATGCCTTCTTTCGTAAGACTCGCGAAGTCTTCCTCCTCAGAGTGACATTGATTGCATAGTGTTCCTGCGGTGTGCAGTATACATATTCAGTTTGGGCATATATTCACACTTACAAATTAGAAGACAAAACTAGAACTCCTAAGGACTTATATATCTAAAAGATTTTATCTAGTATCGCTTCCTGTCGTCTAGTTCGCTAGAACCATGAAACACTATTGATCCACTCTTAAAGCACTGTTAAAGCTGACATTTTGAAACCTGCACTTTCGCACATGCCTTAAGTAGTAACGATCTTAAAATATAACGATGCATATCCTTAAAAAGCTAAAGATTTCTTCCTTAGATGCGTTTTAATGAGCTAAAATTTAGCTGGAAAGCTTGAAAAGTTTGGGTATCTTCCACTCTCAATGCGCACACACGCATCTCCCAAACTGAACGAAACTCTTTAAAAAGAGGATACTTTCTATGTGTATTTAGTCTATCCATCTCAATACATCGTGTCAATTTCTCTTATCAATAAACAAAATTTGTCATATATGAGATGGGATTGAAATAAATTTGCAGATTTATATTCTGCGGTATAAAATTTTGAAAGCTTTTACGTATTATCATGCAATCGTAATTTGTTTAATGAGCTGCTTTATGTGCGTTTGTCTTCTTGCATTTAGTATCCGCGAGTTTGGGAGACTGAGATCTCGAAAGTAGACGCACTCAACTTTTCAAGACAAGGTGGCTTATTATTTTAATGTAATGCAGTGAGACATATAGATTTTTACAAAGTACTATAATTATACTATAATTTGTCTGTGTGTGTGTGTGTGTGTGTGTTTATATGTATAAATATAAATTATCGCAAGACACGATCATATTTCGATGAAGATGGAACTAAATCCTCCAACAGCAAGGCGGACCCATTCAATATCTTCATCGAGTATCTCATTTATCTTACATTAAAATTTGCCTCTTGTATTGTGCACTATGATTCTCTTATAGAAGTTAACGATCTTCGGCCCCACTTGTCCCCAAGTTTTTTATACACTTCAGTTTTACATGCACGAAGAATTCAAATATTATAACCGTTATAAATAGCGAATTCTCTAGCAAATCTGAAGTTGGCTTTTCCTTGACCAAAGGCTTTCGCTAAGGCTTATGGAGTTTTATGAACCTTGAAAGCTATAAACTTGCAACAAATCAAGCTACAAAAGCGTAAATAAATAATAAAAAAATCTTTCTTATGTTTGGCAGAGCAATTGAAAACATTAAGCTATAAAATATTGGCCTCCTAATATCCGTTAAAAAAAAATCAATCTTGTATTCAAGAGAAAAAAAATCATGTTTTTAAGAGAAAAAATTATGAAACACCTTGCGCAATAACATGTCCTTATTTCATTAATCTCGCATCTTACTATAAAATGTTATGTCATTTACATTGCCGAGAAAAGGAGATCATCTACAGAATAAATTACCGTAATATATTTACAAATGAAAGGGACTAGTCTTCTAGTCCTGTTTTTTGTTCAGGTGCAAGAAAATATCGAGCGGGCGTTCTCGCTCGCGCAAAAATGCGAAGAGACAAAAAACACAGAGATACATACATACATGAAGAATGTTATAGAAAAAAAAGAGTGCGTTAATAACGCCCAGTATACCCGTGCTTGTGTTGCGATACGTTTCCTTTTCGTTCTTCGCAGACGAAGCAATAAATCAATTAATGATTTAAACGGATATAAATACTTGTTAAGAGTTAAATGGAACGCCGAATACAAGTTGATGGACGTGTTACTTTGAACGTTGAAATGCAGGTTTATATCCTACGGTTATTAACGCACTCGACTGAAACTTCGAGACAATTAAATCTTGCGACAGACCCAGTCTCATTTTGGTATTCACTGGAATAATATTATTGATAATATTACCGCAATTAACTTATGCATTCATTGTCTCATGATTTGCCTTAAAATCTAATGCTCCATAAATGGCCCTATAATCTGTCTATTACCGTCATATCACTTAATTACAGTTACGTAAGATGACAAACCATAAATATATTACGTTGGCGTTTCATTCGCGTAAGATACATTGGCGCGAGACACTACCGTGTCTCTTTACATAATCAACAATGCGATTAATCTTGTTTTTTTTATGTTTCACTTTTCTCCTTATTTCTATATGAGATGTATGTATATGTTGCTTTACCCGGCTAATCAGTTCTCCTGACTACGCTCTCCCAACTATGCCTACGACCTCCAAACAGATTTTTTAGACAATAAAAACCCATTACTATAGATCCCCTATACGGCGCTGATGCTCGCATTTGAGTGCGCCGAAAAGAAAATCTTTAATTGTCCGTCCTTTACTTTAACAACTAGAATAAATATTACTAATTAGATTAAGGGGTCCTCTCTTTCCATACTTTCCGATATAATGTTAACATTGTGTTCTTTGTAAACCTAACATTAGAATCATTAATAATCAAACATAGCACTTCCGCTTTTTTGCCCCCATCGATTCGGAAAAAAAAAACAATTTTCCAAGCATTCTCTCTCCAAGTATTGTTGTATTATTAATACTGATTTACAAATATGGATCATGACTGATTGTAACGTAGGAATTTATTCTTACGCGAGCGCTCACATAATTATAAGAAAGGAGATCTTGATATATTAATGATTCTAATAATACACAATAATTTAACGCGACAATTGATACATAATTATATGTCTATATTAATATATACGATTTCTATTCATATATTAATAGAATAAGGATTCTATTAATATACGATCCTATCCACATATAGGTTGGATTATAGATTAAGTTGCTTTTTAGGGCTTTTATCGATAAGGCTATTATCGATTGAATGTGGGCATCCAAAGGCTGAAGTATTACATCATTGTGTTGCTTTCACCACAAGGCTTGGAGTATGGAATTTATGTTGCTTTCAAGGCTTGCTTAATACTACTAGAATTATTGTGCCAACAAACGACATAGATTTGCACAAGAGTCGCGATTATTACAGTAAAAATACAAAACTTCTAAAGTTTGGCATTATCAAGCAAAAACAATTACTTCTTTAAAACTAATAAAAAAATCTTACTCTTATAATACTCCTATAACTAATTTTACACGTTATTTCACTGCTAAAGCATAATGCTATAATCGAATAAGCTTTGACGTTTGCATAATTTCGTTTGTATGATATCGACGTTCGAATAATTTTGTATTATATAGACATGTTCGATTTATTTTTATTTCATAAATCTTTGCATGCTCTAATGAGACATTGTCCTGTATCTAACGCCACATGAATTCGACTTGTTCATAGCCATCTTTTATTTAATTGTGAGTAGATAACATATCCCGGCTTATCTCGGACACCAGACACGGGCATCCATTTACTTTCATCCCCGGCATTTTCGTGTGACGTATTTAACACAGATCTTTTTTTTCTTAATAGACTTCCGACCACCAGGGTCACCACGGTTTAAAGGGAGAGCATTTAACACAGATAAAGTTGCTTTATGGGACAAAATTGTATCCTAGTTTATGGATTCATTAATTAGTAGTAAGCATAATTATAGTAAGCATAAATTATGAGCTGTGCAACGTGCAGACGATAACGGTCTAATGAGAAATTAAAGTGAGACGAGTAAAATGTACATCCTAACGATTAGCAACAGTAAAATAACGATAATTAATTTAATTACTTACGCTAAATTTGGATCCTAAAGCTTAGTGTCTACCTGAGAGTAACTCTTAGAATTGAAGAGTAATAATATAAGAATAAGTGGTCTTTAGTACTTTTCTATGATACGTCATATTGATTAAAACATGCGATTTTGGACAGTATTTCTCTCAAATGGACACTAGCCATTATTAAATCATGTATGGAAGTCATATAAATAACGCATGTGCTCTACATAACACTCCTCGACTACCTCTACTACATACAGCTGTCTTTATGCACTGAAAGTTAGTTTATGCACTGAAGTTCGTTCTTATCTACTATGTTGCTCAGCCGAAGTGTATGTACACACACGAGTTGTTGTCCCATCGGTTTTCAAGAATACTTCAAGATTACTTCAAAATGATCTCATGAAATTTTCAGAATGGTTAAAAGTATGTTATATAAAAGATAGCATTATTTGTGGACATTGTCTTTTGGTGTTGAAATTCAACAGATATGACACGACATGATTTGCGACCGATTCCTAAAGATATTACAATAAGTATTAATTGAATTCATTTTTTATGCCAATCACTTCAGCACGATTATTCAGCACAATTAGATGTCTAAAATTTACAGAATTTACAGAATGGAGTTTTACTCCTCGCAAAATGAAAGCTATACATACATGCAACAAGATAACAGTCTCGTAAATAGCGATTGTTTTTTCCAGGCATTTTGTTTCTTTATCCCATCTTTTCTTTTTTACACAAATGCTAGAGAAAATTCGTTCCCTAAAAAAATAAGCGTAATATGCTACACAAATTTCATTGAGTCGAAAAGTGCTATTGTATCCCAGTAATACAACAAAAACTCATGTCTAGTTTGTTAGTTAATTTGAGAATTCCCCACATTAATCTTACCAAGCATAATTTTTACAAAATAAGAATTCGTTTAGCTTACTTTTCAACTCGGAATGCACCGGATATTCGGAAAATATCCGGTATTTTTTACTATCCGGTCGGATAGCCGAATTAATATCCGGTAATATAAATATATATCCGGCTGAAATTTTATATTGAAAGTTTGCATTAATGCAAAATTTGATTCTTTTTACCTGACCTTCTTGCACAATTCATCTTTCCTCTTTTTCTTTTCACGTTAGGAAAATGAAGAAAAAATTGTTTTTCAACACTATTTTTTTCCCTTGCTTTTTTTTGGAAGCCTTGTTCCAGTTATCTGACCGGATGTCTGAGAAAATATCCGGTATCTGGTCGAATAATTGCGTTATTCCGAATATATCTGACCAAATATCGGAAAACCAAATATTCGAAAAGAATATGACATCGGACATCCGATATCCAGTATTCGGTAATTTTACAATCCGGTGCATTCCTATTTTCAATTATCCGACTGCAGACGATTTTTCACCCAACGTACAAAATATTCTTAATCTGATTTACAAACTGCATATTAAAAGCACCTCTCATAAAAACTTATTCTATAAGTTCATAAAATCAATCGAAAATTCTCTCTTCCGTAAATAAAACATACAGTGCCACGCATACAAAAAAGCTATCGTATAAACTTACGATAATGAAAAAAAGTAGAGAAGATGAAGAAGAGAAAAGAAAAAATGAAAAAAAGGAAAAGAAATAGGAAGAAGGTATGTAAGAAAATTTATCAGTTGAATTGTCCTAATTGTTAAAGAATTTGTGACGCAACATGCTGCGATCCCGACTGCCTGATGAAACTTCTCACACTTGTATCACGGAGTCGCAATTATATGTAGTTTCTTTACATAGATAACAACACCGACCTGGGTGACAGTTCAACTCGACATAAGAAAAGAATTATGCGAAGTACATAACTCGCTTCGTGTCGGCGTGAACTGTGATTGCTCGCGCCATTGCACCCGGTGTCCTATCCTCACTACAACCCGACTGATGAGATCCTTCTCCGCTGTAAAGTTAAAATTAAAACGCGATAAGATTCCCGCGTATATAATTAAGCATCTTACGACGATATGACAAAGAAAAAGATATACTATTGAAAAGATAACTTGACTTACCTATCGTGCTCTTTCTCGACCAGATGATATCTAGCCCGGAATGCTACGAGATGAGCGTAATATGCAGGCGCTGGTATACTAACGGATCTCGTACATCTGACGTAAGTGTGACATAATTGGTACGTGAGACACTGTAACTCATCACTTTCAAAGTGATTATCATCCCATAAAACGTGATAATGTGACGGTCTCGATGTACCCTGAAACAACAGACATATTTAGAATACATGACAATGTGCAATGGAAGTACATTCTCATAGAGAATTATTATTACAGAACTCTGCACAAATCATGTGGAAAACGTGGCTTGAATTGACTGAAATACCTGAATACCCTGATGACTGCAGAGGTAAAAGTCGAATTCCGTCGGATGAGTTATGCATACGTCGACAGTCGTACCCGCCGGAATATTTCCACTTTTACCACTTTGTTCTTTTTTATCCGCGCAAAACAGACGCGTGTGATGTCTCTTCTGCACTACGATAAACGTTATGCCTGGTCTGTAATCGATCTCGAGTTTGAGACATGCTTCACGAATGGCAGTCAATTCGTGTTGCAAAACGGTGAGGAATTGGCCTTCAGAGACGCCGTCGCGATACAGAATTATTCTATGTGGTTTGTATCCGCCGGTGCTCTTGTAAAACATTATAAGCAATTCCCTTAAAGAAAAAAAGATAATATTTAGGGCAAGACAGAATAAAAAATAACCAGAACAAATTATAAAATATTAAAAGAAATGATAATATTTTCCATAATACAATAATTTTCTTCTTAACACATTTTATAATACTTATTGGTCATTTCACTTTTTTTAAGTCAAAAATTTTTTTTAATTTAACTATTACGTAGAATGTTTATTTTAGAGATACATTATACAATACCTCTATAATATTATATATACAATATATTTCAGACAATATTAAATATATTTCAGATATTATTACATTGTATTTTAATTTAATTAATATGTTAATCTATGTGATATATAATATATTACTTTGTAATGTTACTTTATTTGTTTAGAGTAAACTTCGTTTTTTACAAAAAATTTTTTTTTCAAATTAAACCGTTTTCTAAAATTTTCAACGAAAAAAAAATCCTGCGCTACATTTTAACTATTCTGTCTATTTACAGGAAAATATTTTTTACTTTTTTTATTTCAGATCACCTTCACCTCTGAAAACTTCCCACCTATTCACCAAGCCACGGCGAAGAGCTTGGACGGCTACGTTGTTCTACAACCTACATTTTTTATTGAAAATTTTTAATATTTGGTAAATTCGTAAGTTAAACATTGTATAATATATTTTCTTAAAATAAAAATTAATTCTATACAGTTAACTTAAAAAAAGGAATTATAATTAATAATTTTATATAATTAAGTTTACAGTAAAAATTCATCATCGAGAAGAATTTTGACACATCTATTTAGATATTACAATCTGCTATACTCTACAGATTTAAAACGTAATTTATTTCTCAAACGTTTGTAAAATTTCATAAATTAATTTAGATATCTTACCTAACCATCGAACTCAATTCCTGGATAATCTCTTGTCTGTGCTGCTGACCCCTAACAGTTGCTGCATACCGAGATGGATGAGCATCCATGCTGCCTACTACAGCAGCTATACTGGGTTTTTTGTTATCTCCCGCCGGCGGGTGAGTCACATCAGCTCCAAGAAATATAACCGGCTCGTTAAACACTTTTGGTCTTATGCTAGGTACTAGAATGCTATTGATGCCTCCTAATTTGACATTTATTTTAAGACAGAGATTGGATAATGTCTGCGGCGATGTCTTATTGACGTTTTTTGCTTGTACACACTGAGTTGCCATGCCTAATAATGTATCTCCTACCCTTTTCACTTCAGCTAAACAAGAAAGACAAAAACAAATTATTTATCTCAATTTATAAAAATTACAAATAATTACAATATTTCAGAGCAATCCATAAATTAAAGATAAATAATTTATGTCTATCAACGTAGATTAACTTTAATCTTAATTTAATTGACTCTATCTTTTTCTAAAGTTTAAAATTTAAAAAAATAAAAAGCAAGTTAAATCAAGATTAAAATTAAACTACATTGATAGATATAAACATTAATCTATAATCTATATTTATATGTACATATATATATATTTATACAGCATATACAATTACCATATACAGGAGTTTTGCCTGGTAATACAACACAAACTAGCTGCAGCTGCGAGAAAGTCGATTTCAAATATCGAAACATAGGTTCGACTTGATCTGGTCCAGTAGCATATTTACAAAAACATGGTTGTCCAATGATGGGCATACCAGCATCATTACTAATTTTTTGTAATTGTGTTGTGAATGAACGTAACGCATCTTCGCGTACTGTTCTTTGAGGCGCAAAACAAGCGATTGCCCACACTCTTATCTCCACTCCAGTGAAGAACTGTTTGCCACGCATATCCCATACACCTTGATTAGGCATCGCCTGCTGCTTTGTCTTTAAGAAGATATATACATTATTGAGTGTTTAAACAATGTTTAAATAATATAAAATTATATTGCAGTAGATGTATCGGTATTTCCATATGCAAACGTGTCTCATTTCTTTTATTTAATACAATTTAATTATATTATATAGCAAAAAAACAAATAGAATTGTTCTGTCAGCATGGAACAAATACTGATAGCATCAGACTTTCGCACGTGATGTCGGACTGCAAATGTAACATTAGTTACATTTGTAAACCATAAGCTATGTCTACAATATAACAAAAACGATCCCCGTTACATTTATCATTTATAATTTATCACGATGACAATTTGAATATTCGTTACACTGACAGCTCAGATATCAAATCAACCAGGTCTAGAACCCATGTATTCATTTGACAACTTTTAGTCACATGTGTAAACATATATCAAATGTAATCTTAGTAACTAAATACATACATACATTAAAAATATTATTATCACAATATAAATTAATTTACAAAATATAAGTATCGTTAATGCTATTATACGCAAAATAAAATAAAGATTAAATAAATAAAAAATAAGAATAAAAACTAGCATAAACGTATTTTATGTCCTTCGCAGCCAAAAGCTTCAGTTTGCAGATTACATATAAAGAATCTAAGAACTATGATAATTTAATAATCAAACATTTGGCGCTACAAAAATTTATGTCTGCTAAAAATAATCAAACTTATTAGCCTCTGCAAATGTATAATTCGGCTAGACCTGACTGATTTAATTGGAAGTTTCTCACCTGTCCACTGAGGGAACTTACGCGCCCTCCATACTGCAGTTTGGGCGGAGGTAGTACACGACCCCTGACTTCCATCATACTGTTCGATATAGTCAATCCAAATTCTTGTACATAAGAATCATTGTTAAAGTCAGCCCTTCTAACTAGATTATTAATTTCCCGTTCACGATCTGGTGCGGAACGCGCTGTCGCTTTGATCATAGTCGAGGTCTGCATATCAGTTAACTTTTTAATGCAGCGTTGTCCGGCGACAATATTGCAAACCTAATATCAAATAAAATTAAATTACATTTTATTCTTCAATAGAATACAATACACTGTAAGCTAAATCCAAAATTGTTGCGTACCTCAAGCGGCAAATATGTGTGTTTATGTTCTTGGCCGACTTGCAAACAAGGAAGATGTGGGTGGCGCAATTTCATTTTGTACTTATCTAAGAAGTATTTGGCAACTGTACACTCAACTGTTTGTCCATTTTCCAGTTGCAATGGAAATCTGTAATTAAATTAGATTACATTATAATACATTAGCTATAGTGTATAATCAATGACATATTTTTTTACATTTTACATTTAGTAATATTATAATTTCACTATACACTTACGATTGCATTTGAGCTGGTTTACGTGTAACATTGCACACTCGATATTTTCGCTTCATAGCTCCGCAGTGAGTTATTTCAATCTTGAGACCTTTGATTTCTTTGGTAAATTTCACTCTCTGAGAATCCGTGAGCGGCTTTCTCTGTTCATTGATATCTCGAATATCCAACACTTCGCACATAAATTCTATAACTGGCTGCGCTTTGTAAAAGGCAGTGGCAGAGACTAGAATACAAATGAAAATAGTTGAATAAGATCATAATAAAACATATAATCTGATATAAATCGGTAATCTTTCTTTCGCCTACCGTCGATATTTAACATCATTTTCCATTGCGACGGTCTTACTGATTGATGGAATCCAAACCATACTTCCCTGCCTCCACCCAATGGATGGTAATATCCTTCTGGCGTACTAAAGAACGATCTACCTACTGGAGTGTATGTCATAGATGGTAAATGCCTCATTACAACATCTAAAGCAAGAACAGCATCATATGGAATTTGTCTAGTTCGTCCTTCTAAAGCCTCTTCTAAAGCAAATAACGAAACCTGCGCCAACCACTTTATAACCACTCGGAAAACTCTATCTTTTCCCTCACCAGGCAGTGTGACCTACAAAGACGATTATAAATGCAATTATATAAATCATAGAACGTTTTGAACTTTTAAAAGATAGTAATTTACCTCTAATTCTACTTTATCATGCCCGATAGGCAAGGGGTCCCTTGTGTACAAGTTATTTCTGCCATCAAACACAGGCTTACGAGATTGAAATATTTTAGTATATGCATGAACCATCGTTTCTACAATTTCCCTATTAACTTTCCGAGGACATTTATCAGGTTGTATGCTAATGTCATAGTGATGTACATAGCCACGTGGCATACTAATTTGAAAATGATTAGCTCTCAAACCAATCGGTCTACCTTCTCGTCCTATGTTTGGTCTTCGAGGGCACGTAAACACTGTAAAAGAATATTAATTAATTACAGAAAACTAACTTTTCATCAATTTTTTATTTATATATTAGAGTTGGAATTAGATATACATACTTGGCAGTTCTGTAGGTTGAGGAGGAGTGTGTGCCTGCTGTGCGGGAACAAGCCCCATATTGCTAGGAGCTGCGACACTACTCGCCGCTACTCCTGCTGTCCCAACAGAACCGCCACTAGTTGAGGGTCCAGGTGGGGGGGCTAAAGAAATAACATTATTCATTTTAAAAATCAATATCAGTTTTATGTATTTATTGAATTGGAAAAAATATTGCATATTGCACTCTTTTCATTTATTTCTATTTATGTTCTTACATTTATATGTGTCTTTAATTATTACCAGAATATATAACAACAAATTTTCATATGCAATTTTGTTTATTATTTAAAGTGTTGCATTAAGCAATTATTCCAGTATTAACGCTTGTGAGTATTAACGCTTAAGAAGAAACTTTAATTCAAAGTTAGCAGATTACAGTATCTTCCATTTCTTTTTTTACGTCAGTGATTATAACAAAATGCAGAAAAACATCTCTGATATATTTAACAAGATAATTAACAAGATATACTTTCAACAATGTTATATTCTTAAATAAATAATATATTGGAATAACCACGTAAAGATGTTTTATATATATATATATATAAAATTTGCTATTATTTCAATATCACGACAGAATAAATACAACATAATTAATGTTAAATTGTTTTTCAATATTAGGTCCATATATATGTATATGTGTATATATATATATATATATACACAGGGTGTCCCAAAACTGACTAAATATTTTAAAAACAGATTCTTTTTAACATTTTAAAACGAAAAGTCTAATACGAAAATGTTGAAGCTATGATAGTTTTCAAATGGGAAGTGTTAAAATTACGTATAACTACGAATAACGGGATTAAAATTTCGAGCGCTCAGAGATGGCAAGATCAGTGTGAAAGTGTTTTCTCGAACTTCATGCTTTTGATAATAACAAAATTCAGCACCTTCACACTGACCATCTATCAAAGATATACGAAATGATCCCGATGTCGTTGCTGCATCAGAACAAGAAAATGATATTTGATTATAATATTAACGTGGGAAAAGGTATGACACTTTTGTACTATTTTTTTATTTTTAAATGCTATATTTAAAATTTGCATTTGTCTTGGCTACTACATATGGCGGATTTAGGTAATCAATAAAAAATCATTCATTCTCATAACTTTTATTGTAGACTAGGACACTATAAAGAATAAGCTAAAAGCACTTTCATTCGTAGCATAACGTTTTTCAATATGTCAATTATAATGAAGGATATTATAATGAAGGATATAGTGAATCTCCAGAAATTCTCTATCCTGTCCTGGCTAATCAACCCAGTGTTCAGATTCCCGAGTGTCACTCAGGTATCATTCTTTGTTGTTTGCTAAATGTTAAACAAGGATGACATGACACTCGGGGAGCATCCAGGTTGGAATCCAAACATGCCTCAACACGTTTAAAATTTTTTTCGTAAGACAAATAAAATCAATGAAATAGTAAAATATGGATGCTTTCTACTCATAATGACACAAGTCAACATAATCATCACAACGACACAAGTTAACACATCATTCTATCTTTTTTGACACATTCAGAAAATAATAAAGATAAAATGATATTTGTACTGACTTATGTCATCAATGGAAAACACTCAATATTCTGAAAGGAGTTATCGAGGAGTGGGGGGTGTCCCAATTCCTAGATGACATTCTGATGCAAGAATTATACTGTCTTGTTTATCAAAGTTTCACTAATTGGCTAATATTATTTTATCATAGTAGGAAAGAATTAGAAAAACAAGTATTTGCTTTTTTTTCTCCATCAAACCACAGTTTTTATAATTTAATATAGAGAAAGCACACTCCAATATATTATACAACTCATTAAATGAAATAGTATTCTTAAGTTAATATTGCATTTATCACACGATAATTTTTCAAATGTATTGATTAGCTATCGGAAGTGGTCCTTAAGTTTAGAAATTTTTTATTCTATAGCCATTTAACAGGAAAATGTCTTTCATTCCTCAACTGATGACTTTAATGGCCTATATCACGGTTTTATATTCTATTTATTGTATGGCAAATGAAATAATATCCTAATATGTTCATAAAAGCAGATCATATTAAAAAAAAAAAAAAAGAAACAGTAATCTTTACTGCTCGTTTCTACCAATGTAGTTTAATTTTAATCTCGATCCAACTAACTCTTCATCTTTTTCTAGTTTAAGGCTAGTATTCATAGTTGATTCTTATATTTAAGTAATGTTTTAAAATAAGAACAGACTATGAATATCAGCTTAAGATTGTAAAAAAAAATAAAGAATAAATTAAACAAAGATTAAAGTTAATTTATATTGATAGAAACAAACATAAATGTTTATTTCTGATTGAAATAAATCAATATGGGTCATCGAAGAATTATAACAATTATACATGGTTATCGAAACATAATATGCTGTCACAGTCTTGATCATAATTTTTATAATTTTTGAAGTATATATACTATACATTCCCTTAATGCTTCGACACTTAAACTCTTTCCAATAATGCTCCTAGCTCGAAACAGTCTTCTGTTTCCGACATGAGTCTCAATAATGTGACTCATGTCGGAAGCATGTGACACAGCTGGCTCGCACGACTCAGAACAAATTTTCCACGTGGATTTCGGATGCAGATGCGAGCAAGGGAACAGCGACAGCGAATTGTCAATTTTCTAACAGAGCACAAAGAGTCAGTAGGTCTTCCCTACCGCCGTTCGCTCTAATATCTAAAACGCTGAATTTTTTGTTTGCGCGGTAGATAAGACCATGATCTAGAAAGAGACGCTAGAGACCAGAATTAGCTAACGCGTGGAGGCCGTCGTGTCGCGGGTGAGTGACGACACGCGTGCCTGTTGAACGAGGTTCATCCGAGGTCATTCGGCGTATCTTCACGCACAGGCGTCGCAACGTATCTTCACGACGTTCTCCGGGACGGAGGAACAATCAAGGAGGAGCAAGGCGAACGTTTTGGAGATCGTGGGTAAGTCTGCGAGCGTGCGTGCGTGCATCGCGAACGAGCTAACGAGCCCGCAAGCTCGCTCGTCGAGGAACATCCGCAGGGATGGTTCGAGCGTGTTTACGGGGATTTCCGTGGATCCTAGCGGGGATACGACAGCGTAATGACACTCACGTTGTCCTGCGGGGTACATTCTCGCTGCCGTCGAGTGTAAAAGACCAGATAACCACTAATAAATAAGTAAAAAAATTCAACACAAGACCCCACTAGCCACACCACACACTTCCCCACAACACACACTGCGAACGACACCACCAAACGAGACTGTCCCTCCGCAATGGCGTCCGCTAGCGCGGCGCCTATTGGCCGCAGCGCGACCAATCAACGCACAGCGAACGACGGTCGCGGTCGACAATCCGCGGCGCCTCGCTCGCTCGCACGTTGCTGCGCGCGGTATTCACGAATCGTTTGAACTCTATTCCGATCACTCTCGAAAATTTCTGTCCGATTATCGGAGAACTTCCGTTAGTAATGCGCGTGAAAGTTTTTCACGCGTGTTATCTCTTTCTAGGAAAAAAAAGATCGAACACCCGCGGATGTTGATGATGTTACAATATCGTGACTTTTCTATAGTATGCCTGTTCAATTAATGGGAATAATGGATAAAAATAGAGATGAGCACCGATCCGGAAGATTCAATCGACGCGTCACTGTTCTCCTTATCATTCCTCATCTTTGCTATTAACAAGATATCGCTGTCGTAATCTTGTAATCTAGCACGCATGAAGACATGGAAGAATTACGAATAAACTATTGATTAATGCATTTCTCTCAAAATGTAGATTAACTAACTTTATAATTAATTAATATAAAATTATAAAATTAACTAATTTCATAAATATTAAAATAATTCAAATATTGCTTGAAAAGACTTAAAATTTGATTACTTTAACAATAAAAAGAACTTTATTGAATGCAATAATGTAACTACAGATAATAAAATAAAACCATAAAATCTAATAGATTTTAAACAACTAATAAATTGCAAACGTTTGCAGCTGGTATGTTAATTCATTGACTATATAAATGATTAATAAAAAAAAAGTAATTTACATATTGCATCACATATTGCATCAGGATAAATTATCAATTTCTTATCGCATCATCAGTACTATAATATTTTTTTTATTCAATCATTGTAATATATTTTATAACTCTCATATAATATCTCTGTTGATAGCAAAATGCTATTACACGAATAAAGTATTATATTATTATTTGTAAATAAAGAACAAGGTTTTTTTATTTACAAATAATAATTGATAGAATAGAATTTAAAAAAAAAAAGAAAAAAAAACATCAGACATCGATGATCACGGCGGGCGTTGTGCAAGATTGATCCGCTGCCAACCTGCTGTGCAGGTTTCGGCCGCAATAGTGGCAGCATTGGCGCGACAAGTTCCGGGCAGTGACGCCGCGTATGTGCGTCGCATTTACGAGTATCGTGCTTACATCGAGATTCCAAGATGTCGATTCATTTCTCCGGGGCCATCAAACGCTCTGGCGGGATAATGAGCATGATCGTAAAGCAGATTAAGCGCGTCAATCTAACGCCCGTCGACAAGATCAACGTTCGTTTCAATCCGTTCGACCGTCAATCCAAGCAGACGAGGTTAGTTCCCTGAAGTTGGCGGACGCGCATCACGCGCATCTCACGATTGCGCGGGAATTATCGAAACGGAGTTTTGTGCGCGAGATATTGCACCCGCTTGTTTTAAATTTCCGAAAAAACACTTGCATAATTTCTTTGTAAAAAATCGAGAAATTTGCAAACAAAATCGAAGTTTTCTGTATAATTAGTTACGTTCAGCAGAATGTTTATTTTGCAACTTTTAGAAGTTTACTTAGCTGAGATAGGATTGTTCCTCTAAATCTAAAAGTATAATTCTATCAGCACGAAGGAAACTTTCAACAATTGAAAAATAAACATTCTATTTAATGCTGTCGTTATTCCACTATTTTTTCTTGTGTATCAATCTTTCCAAATAATATTTTATTCAAATGGCGAGAAAAAGGAATAAATGTACAGATTCGAGCGAGATCGTGTTTTCTCCGAAAGGCATACATACATTTTCTATTAATATAATTTAATTTCAATTTAATTTACTTATCATTTTTTTTATGATCCTTAGAAAAAAAAAGGATAAAAAGTAAACAAAATTGTATTGTACATTAATAGAAATGGATTCATTATGTCGATTCTGGAAATTCTGATTAATTTAACCGGCAGTATTGCTATCCCATGTGTTAAAACAAAAAAATTAATAATTCTTTTCATGATAACAAAATGATATCGCTTGATAAGTTAATCGGAGATGATGGAGATTAGTTGAAATCACTCTTCGATATCCCGGTAACAATTAAAGAGGATTAGATAGAACGAAAGATCCTTATATAAACGTAATATATTTTCGCATACACTACTATCAGCGCTATCTTGTGAGTCTAACGTCAACATTTAGGTATCAATATAAAAAGAACGGTTTTGCCGAAGTATTTAAAAATTTAGTTCTAGAAGTTTTTCTACAAATCTGAAAATAATTTTATTCATAACTATCAAACTAATTATGTAGGACAGTTGATTGCTAAAATGTCAAAATTATTTTGCAGCATTGCTCATCATGCTTAAGTTTCCTATATACTTAATTATTTTTATGGTGAAAAAAAAAACAAAATTATTTTCATATCTGCATTTAGCGAATATTTCAACAAAATTATTATTTCCATAAAGTAAAGTCGCGTTTTTAGCATGAAGTTTATGTTACGTATACTGTAAAATGTACCCGTATATGTGCTTTACAGAATGCAACCAATATTAAAAAAAATAAATAAATATATACTATATAACACATTCTTATTAATTACATTTATATTAAAATTACATTTTATTTTAACGTAAACATATATATATTTTTATGAAGGAAATGTAAACGTAATTATAGACGTCAGACTCGACATATGACACGCGCACCTTCCGCTCTATCCAATCCTCTTCGGTAACGATTAACCACCAACCCGCGAGTCAGGTTGGCACTCGACGACGTCATCGACGCACGCACGCGCACCCCCTCGGCGCCAGGTTAGCAGACGATGTGCGCAGCCCTTCCGTTGTTATTTATAGAAGTGTGTCTCGATCATGTGTGCGTTGCTAGTCGAGTAAGAACAGTTCCAAAGATTCGTGAGCTCCTCCTAGGTGCCCTGTTGTCGCTCGGATAATCAGCGTTAACAGGTAATAAAGAATAGGAGAAAACAAGAATCGTCCTCCTCTTCCTTTCCGCCCTACCCCATCATGATTCCGCAATACCGACTTTGACGTTTGCACACAATCGTGGCGTTCGATACCGACACGTTTGCACGACGACGTGAACCATCCTATCGCCCCCGTTTCATATATTGGATCACGAAATAAATCCGCTTTTTAGACGATCTATAATTCCCGGACTTCGGGAGAAAATAGTGGCTACGTTTACACCGTGCATTTAGGCCGCGGCCTATACAATAAATGTCTTTGTTTATCTTGTATATTAAACAAAGACACCTATCGTATAGGTCGCTCAGATAGAATTTTATTCACAATTTAGTATGTTTTAATCACGTATATACTTTAAACACGGTAGTGTCGCTGCGATTGGCTTAACGCCAAGTATTGTCGTGCCCCCAGATATTTTGTGTATGTGTGTCTTGTTTTTTAAGTGCACGCACATAAACTTAATTTCATTAATATTCAATTACGTAAATAACATTATCTAATTTAATTATAATAAATTATTAATAATTTTATTATTAAATAAAATAATCGAGAATTCGTTGTAATTGAATATTTTAAATTTGAGTATTTAGTATTTTAGTATAATTTTAAATACTTTGCGGTTTTTTCAAGAATGCTTTTCACCCTCTGCAAATTTAATGTCATTAATATTAAATTACATAAATAACGTTAAATAATTTAATAATTTTAATATTAAACAAAATCAAATATTTGTTATAATTAATTTTATTATTAAATTTATTTTTTAAATTTTATGCGAATTGCAGGTCATCTAAATAAAGCTTTAATAAAGCTTCACTATACGAGTACAATGCTCCCGTTATTTCAATTATCTTACGTGCGCGTGTGAGCGTCTATTCTTTTTATTATATATAGACTAATTACTTATAGACTAATCTACTTCGATTTCAGTTGGTAATCAAATCATTGACGACACACATCCATAAATATACGCGTCAAGATATATCTACGAGACATCAAATTTTATTTTTGAGGAGCTTTTAGTTGATTTAGACACTATTACGAAAATCGAAAAAATATGATCTATCTATTGTTATTTTCCTCTTGTTATTTATGCACAAGAATCAGGAACGTATTAGAAAATGAATATACGCGGACAATCGTGACTTTCCTTCCGTTTCATAACAATGTTTCTCTTTTAATTACCTATTTAAAACGAATGTAACTCACCATTACATTGGCCACATCCATATGCTTTGCCGAGCATGGAGACGGCTGTAGTTATACGAAGGGTACTTAAATCTGGCATTGGAAGCGGTAATTGCTGCTCCATTTGTGCCATTTTGCCTGTGAAAGGAACGATAAACACATTGAGAAACGCAATGGGGAAGTAGAAACCAGCAAATCACGTTTACTACGAAGCTGCGAGATAAGACTGCAAAAAAAGAAAGGAAAAGGCAAAAGAACAAAACGTAGATTAAGCGATGAAAAATTTAATTTCTACGACCTTAAAGAGAATGTACAGATTAGACTTTCTTACAGATCAACACATGAGATAATAACATGCATAATGCTTTTTATTTGCAGAGATTTTCTGTTTTACGTTAGCGCTCCGAAAATTCGTGCGACGAACCCGCAGTGCTCATTGAAAACAGAGGTCGTGTGCGATCGTTCCAAACCAACCGTTACGTTCAGTCTTCGTAAGTATAATAACAAAAGTATGGAATTGTTCGCGTCATCGTTTCAGTGCATACCGCTATCGTTCAATTCATTCACGTGAGCGTTCGTGTCGTACAATGCGGAAAAGTATTAAAAAAGAAATACAAAAAGAAAGATGCATAAGGTGATCAAATTGCGTTCTCATTCAATAAATCTTTAAGAAATCGTCCGTACTCAAAGCTCTATTCCGCGCTAACAAATCGACGGGGTTAATACCATGTTTACTCATCTTAATTATTTCGTCTAAACTTTTTCTTTCATACCTTTTCTCCCGTAATTGCGCGCAGATACAAACAAGTAAGTCACATCTGTCTTGTTTATTTCAGAATCAGGTAAAAAAATAGTATTAAAAACGGCCCTTTTAACAAGCTTGAACATTTTGCAACTTTACAATAAGCACATCACTAGTCTGATTCCGCCCGATCCAGCTGAACTTGAGGCTAAAAAAGCGCTCCAGGAAGAGAAGAGAAAGAAGCAAAAGCGGCCGCATCATAGAATAAAATTATGGAGCAAGCATAGAGGACAGCTTCATTTAATTTAATTTCATCGGTGACTTATTGGACCGCTTATTGGTAATAAATGAAGTATCAAATTGTGTTTACACGATGTACAAGTTTTTTTCAAAAGTCTACTCAAACAAAATATCTCTAAATATGTCTTTGATATATGGCTATGATTTTCATCCTATTTTGTGACATCGCAATTAATCTTCTGCAGCGTAAATTATTTTGTCTGAATTATATTTAGTACTTGTTTAAATGTTGTAGAAAAAAAGCCTATATATATATTCTATGTATATATATATATAATAATTATATTTTTGCAGGATTTTCTATTTGCTAAACACCGAAAGACGTTACATTTATATTAAATAATCTAGAAATTTATTTCGCGCAATCAAAATATTTGATTGCAGTAAACCGATTGTAAAAAAGGAAAACGCTAATTTTATTAATTTAAAATGTACGGGAAGGAAAATAGCGTAACGACGAACAAAGTAATAAGAAACAGTAAAAATTACCATTTACGATTTCTCGATGATTTCTACAATCAATTTCCAGCCTTCACCGATGTGTTTGACGAAGAAACTTGGTATGTCTTTGTCATTTGTTTTGTAGCAGGTACTGTTCTGATGGCATTTATTCTTTCGAAGTATGTAACTATAAAAGCTGTTGAGTAAGATCGTGTATAACGAATTCAGTTTGTAAGATGTTTTGTATTCCTTGTCAAACTATATTTCTTCATGTCTTGATTTTTTTGACGCGTCGCAACCATGTAAACCTTTCAATAAAAAGTATAATATAAATTCAATATAAATGTAATAAGAGTGAGAAACATTCTGTGCTAATTACTATTGTAACAGATACAACTTCGTAAAAAATATATATTGTCATAAATCGTTTGTGCCGATAATAAAATGTTATTTAAAAAATGTATCGTCTGGTCGTTTAAGTTATGGCACTAGTCTAACAACTTATCTCGTAACAAAACTTGAAGAACTTCAGATGATTAGCAACTGATTTTTGGATGGTGTGTAAATTTTAGATTATTTTTTACTTATTTACAGCGACACAATTTAAAGAAAGTTATTTTTTTTATATTATTACTCATCACTTCTCTCAGTACAATTATTTCTGTAAAAATTTAATATTTTGACTCAATCATGAATTTTTAATTCTTACACAAATATTTTTATTCTTATTAATACTAATATCTAACATGTTGGAGAAACATAAATTTTGTATCGCTCTGAAACATTCTTATGTAATTAATAGCAGAATGTATTAAAATATAATGCAAAATATCGTTCAATAAATTACGAAAAATTCGGCAGACCCGTGCGAATCTCGTTTCTCAAGTTTGCCGAGTAGTTTTGCTTCTCCTTTCTTCTGCCCACCTCTCTTCTCTCTTTCTTTTCCTCTGTCTTTTCTCTCTCATATTTCCTTCCATCTCTTCCATGCGTGCGCATTTCATTCCTTTCATTCTTTGTCTGTCCTGGCTGTTCACCACTATCGTCCTTGCGGACGTATATTCTTTCTACAGCATGGATATCTTTCTCTTTTTCTTTCGTCTCTAAATTTTAAACCGGACTTAAAGCAAGAAATCGGCTTTGCTATGTGAAAAATAATCGCCAGAATATAAAGATTTGTTCGCTCGGACAGTTTTGCTTAAACAAATTTACTTCGCAATTAACGTCGCCCAGAATTAGAAAGATGGATGTGTCGAGGCACGACACGTTTTACGCTTGCGATAATAAAACGTAATGGAATATGATTTTATTACGAACGGAAATATTAAAACATACCGGCTTCCATTTTAGCTTCCATTTTAACAATCCTATAAACTATATGTATACATCAGACTCGACATTCCATAATCCCGAAGTGATTCTTTATCATTCTCAGTCAAATTTGGTCCATTCCAGGCGATTCTTGATTTGTATTCTCAACGTTTATTTAACTATTAGCATTAAATAAGTCAATTGTCTTTAATTAGCAATTTGTGAAGGATGCCGAATTCAGAATTGGGAATAGTATAATTTTCAAATAGCTACCCGCATAGTGTCTGAAAGAAGTGATAGATACAAAGCAAATCAAGCAGTATATCGAAACATAAATTACTAAAGCATCAAAGCGCGTGAAGATTAAAGCTGCGCAAGTAAGGCAATCTGTGCTGTAAATACACAAAGTGACTTTAACTCTTTCAAGGCAATCTTTTAGCTGCATAAACGGAACAAAATCCTTAATAAGAAGATTCTTTATCTTTTCAACTTATAATTTTTTCTAAAATTTTTAATTTTGAGAAATGCTATTTGAATAAATTTAGCAAGACATTACAAATCGAACCGTCGACTCTATACAAAACAAGCGAATAGAATTGCTATTTAATTGTTCAGAAACATCAAAGATCTTTTGAGATAAATCATCATCAGTGTCTTGAAAGGGTTAATGAAAAGACGTAGGATTGAAACCGTGACACTCTCGGCGAGTTCAATTTCCGTCTGCGCGTACGCGATAAAGGAATCTTGTGATTCGGTACATTGAAAACAATCGCAGAGATCATTCTCGTGCGTCCCACAGTCTCGGGAATTTATCGAACTCGGCGAAATTCTGTCAAGGTTTCGAATCCTACGACGAGAGATGCTTTCTTGCTTAGCGCGCTCACCTTGTTTCTGCGTGTATCCTCGGGGTGATAAGTAAAATTTACGACATGTAAGGATCGCAGAGCGTTTTTCGCAGAGCGTTTGATTCTTCACTTCACACCGGCATTCTCGGTGGTCGGTTCGCACGCAACGGAGCGACGACGACGAAGACGATGATGACGATGCACTGACGATATACTGTTCTGTCTTGCGTGCGTGCACGCGAGACTACGTGGTCGCGGCAGCCGTGCTGCCGCGGCTATCACTCGCGAACACGGGAAATTGCATCCCTCGCTGCCGCTCCGACGTCAATGTCCGCACACGTGACCACGATTCTCTGCAAGAACATTTGCACGTCAGGACTTGTCATCGAGCATTCATCGAAACGCTGTGCACTCGCGAGATCAGTCGCGAGATCCGGAAAAGCGCGGGCAGGCAATGGCAACTCTAAACCTATTTTCTTTTTTTTTCTCCCTTTAAACATCTCAATTCAATTGTATTGAAAATTTAATATTTGTTTGAAGTAACGAAAAGTTATATATTTATACAAAGCATTATTTAACCTTCTGTCTGCTTTCTTGACATGAGTGAAATTCGAATCTTAAATTATTTTTGTTTAAATTTCAATTTTTATTGAATAAATATTTTAACATTTTAATTAAAAAACTATTTGGTAATATTACAGAGATGTTGAAAACTCTGATTTTTTTTTTAAAGCTTAGACCAGTAAAAAAATTTGGACTGGACAAAAAATTCATATTGCAGACAGAGGAAATAAAATGGTTGTAGACGAAAGGTTAAATATTTATTTAAAATAACGCAAAGCTCTATATTTACATATGGAGTATTATTTAAATTTGTTTAAAAGAACACAAACCCAATATTTATAGCTTACGTTACGAATGTAAAGAAGATTATGAGATAAAGGGGATTTGTTTTTAATCCTTGGAAACGCAAGTGAGAATGAGAGAATCCGAATCTAATTTCAGATATAATAACGGTCGTGATATTTCTTTCATAACTTTCATTTGACTCCGTTTGATCATACCGTCGCGCGTCGTTACATGTCTGTGATATATTTAATATCGCAAAGAGATAATACGATAGATAAGATAATCGTTTTTTGTGACAAGATGCAATCCTCCCTTTTTGCAAAAAAGTAACACTCTAACAGACAAAAGATATTCGCAAAGAAACACTTATACACATATATATATATACACGGAAAGAATTAGCTCTTGAAATTTACCCTGAAAATATGGTAGTTGTGGTACAATATGATATTTAAAAAATTTGATAGTCAACGATTCCCTAACTTAAAAGTACAAAAAAGAAATTGAGAGGGCTCGAAGGAACGCTGTTCAAAATGCGCTAGTCGTTAATATTTCAAAGATTTTTACCATGCACTTCAGTAAAATTAATTGAATTTATTTTATATTTTTTGTAGTTTTATTAATGAATGAGAGAGAAATTTACATAAAATTCTTCGAAGTACAATGTTGTCCCAGAATATTTTCAGGGTAAACTCTAAGAAAAAAATGCTCTGTGTATACACACACAACACACACACACACACACACATATATATATATATATGTGGGTGGTTTAAGTCAAATCGGGACTTTTATTCTTATGTTCATGAGAATAAAAGTCTCGGTTTGACTTGAACCACCCACGTATATATATATATATATGTGTATGTATGTATATACACGATATATGAGCTTATATATAAAATAAAATAATAAAATATACTTAGACATGAAATAATCACCAATTGTCGACAGACAGTATGACATTTCTCGACGCTATTTCCACCACGTTGCTGGCGATAACATTATGAATGAAGACAAAAGCCGAGAGCACCGTTCATCAATAATCCGTGCGTTTGAACAAGTAGTGAAGCGCTTCTCCATTTACTTGTCGACTTACGCGGATTATTCGATGTACAATTTGGTTCTCTCGTTCAGAATATTCATTTTGCGATCAATTTCACTCCAGTAAACTGGAACCTTTTTATCGTGATACATTTTATACAGAATGAAAACGAGTTCCAGCTGTAGAACAAGGAAATTGCGATATACACAATTAGACAAGATGTTTCGTAACAGATTGCATCATGTTACTCCAAACATAGTATAATCGATATACACCTAATGTGTATGTGCTGCACATACATAATACAATACTATGCCATGCAACATGTAGTTCAAATGTGAGAGTCAACGTCAAACGTCGAAATAAGAAAAAATGTTAAACTACAAAATTTTCATGTGTCTATATAATCATGTCGTTTGAATCTAGCGGATCGAACAGTTTCTCGCAAATAGACAAATTCCATGTTTGTGCTAGTTCGAACGTATGTTGCCCTTGGAACGGATACGGAAGTTTAATGAGACGAAACGTCGCGACGAAGCGATACTTTCGCGGCCGTTACTCGTTTCGCAAAGTTTTATCCACTGTCTGGTATACAGAAAAATATCATTCTATTACTGAGAAACGTGGTTATGCAACTTATTTTTTTTCCTTTTAAGTAATAGTTACCTTTAACACAGAATATTTTCTTGATAATGATCTTAAAATATACTTATTATAAATTTTATTAAAAAAATTCATCATTATGTACTCAAAACAAGAATTTATTTTCTTTTAAAAAATATTATAAAATTTATCGAAGAAGCAACTTTATATAACAAACAAATCGAATTTGTTTTAACTTAATAATTTTCATTGAAATATTAAACTTACTCTAAGATTCAAAATATATTTTGATATTTGTGATGAACTTATAGATTTGCGAATATATAAATTTTTGAAATACTTGAAATAAGTAATAATTCTTATCTGCATACATTATATATCTTTCTGTGTGGATAAAACACAAATGAAATCATCGTTGTGCTTCTCATAAATCGCAACCGGCTGGTGACAGAGTGACAAATTAGCAATCTGAAGGCAAATGATAGATAGTGAAATTAATTCCTTAATTCATACTTGATTGTTGATCTTCACAAGATTATTTTTGATAAATTCGATCATTCATACTACAATGGATTAATACATATTAAAGACTATTTTATATAAAATATCGTATCTGAATGAAATTGCATAATGTAGTCAACTTTGGCAATGCAATAATACATGTACATTCTGTTAATTAATGTGACAACACATCATTATTGGGTATTTAATCATTTAAATAAAGTTTTAAATACTAAATGCGGATCAGGCATTAGTTACGAATCACATATATATATATTATATTTAAATAATTATATTTTTTATCAAATGATGTATATCACAAGATTCTTTAGCAATTGTTTTATCTTTTTCAAGTGTCAATTGTTTTTTATTTATTAACAACAGCGCTGTACATTTTATTAATGTTATTAATTAATAAAACGTGACAAATAAACTAAGGTTACTAAAGTATGGTATCTTTAAAAATTCATTCAAAGTGTAATACCATAAGAATTGCCTTACACTTTTAGCTTTTACAGAAGGTAGTAAATAGCATTAGATTTCATGATAAAAATCAATATGCTCAGTCGAAATTAAATCCAAAAAGTATAAAACCTTTGGTAAACTGATCCGCAATTAGTACATGGGGTTTAATTGTGCATAATTGTCATTACTTCATTTAATTAAAATTAAAACATATAAAACCGAAATGAAATAAAATCATCCATGATATAATCTTTATAATCAATTATGACTATTAAATATTTTAATTGTTCAATATCGTTCTAGATAAAAATATGAATTTTTTTTAAGAGTGATCCACAACTAATATAGCCTTATCCTATATATTTCAAATATTTATATTTATATTTTATATTTAACTTTGTTAATTTCATAATAGTTTTTAGGACTAATCTAGCGTAATGACCGAGCTCACTATTTGATTGAACTTCTTAAATATTCTAAATGTGTGTCAATGATAGAAGAATTTACTTTTTAAATTCTTTGGAGCGGAATCTCACTTTGAAGAATGAAAACTGCTAATCTTGAAAGAGAGTGACTCAATTTTTAATCTTTAAAAGTGAAATTTCACGTTTCAGAGTAAGATTTTCATTGTAAAAATTTTACAGGGTAAATATTTAAGGAACAATTACAGCGTTATTCCTTCGGACTTTGAAAAGTGCAAGCGTGTTGACACTTACAATTAGATACGACCTCCGATTCTCTTATCGTCCCTAAAGAATATGAATGTTTTAAAATCGCGTTTCATCTCCTCATTCGAGATCAATCCTTGGCGTCGTGCGTGACGGATACGCACCGCCACAAGCAGACGAAAGAGACGCAGCTTCCGCGTGCGTTCGCGCACACGCGGAACCGCGTACCACGCGCGTTAACTTACGATTCACACTCCGCGTACGCAGTTCCGTATCTTTTTTTTTTCCCCGTCGAACCGCGAGCGATGAGACAAGAAATTGGGTCGTCCGACCGGTCGCGCGAATGACGTTTCTTCGCGCTGACGTTCCGCCGAGCGATAATGAGCGACGAGCCGGGAAAACGCGCTCGCACAAACTCATAAAATGTCCAATAAAATTCACGAAATTCCGCATCGCGACGATTTTTTTGTTCAACATCGGAGCCAGATTTTTTTTTATATTAAATCAAAATTGATTTTAAACCTTCTAGCGACGATCGCATAAATGTGGCAAAAATTGCCGCGCTCACAAATATTAAGAAGGTAATTGCAGAAAAAGCCACTTTAATGTGGTATTGAAATAGTATTCATATTTTAAGGCAAGAAAAATACAGTAAAATATAATGAATAATGATAACAAATTTGACTCAAGGAAAAACTGACGTGAGATTAAAAAAATAGACATCCGTATTCTAAAGATTAATTAACACGGTAAAGAAATATAAAATAAATAAAATTTAAATTTAATACAACAATTTATCAACATTCATCTTTGTATACATACATATACATATATAACAAAATATATACATAAAATATATATTTATGTACACATGTGTATGTATTTATATTTCTATTTAACTTATACGATTTATATCACAATTTATCGTAATAAAATCAGATATTGTGAAATAAAACTCGCCGTAACGTGATCGAGCGACATATGTACGCGACATATGTACTCGTTAAATTACGCGCGAGTCTGAAGTTTCATTTAATAGGGGAGACTGACTAACTTCAAAGTTATCACAATTTTATCGCTTCACACACGGACGAACGTATTGCTGCAACAACGATGATGACGATACCGAGTTGACCAAGTACGAGGACGATGAATCATACGGTTTGCACGACGTACATTGACACTCTCTCGCCTAACCTCTAACCTTCAAATTGAATCCTTTTTTACTTTCGTAAAACGGCGAGTCTCGCGATCACCGTGTCGGAATGCCGCGCGCGACGCAACGCGCGGGACGGCGTGACGTGACGCGACACGACACGACGCAGCGCGACGCGCGACGCGGCGTGACAATTTCGCGGCCACGCTCCGAGGACGGTTTGGGACGCGAGGACCAAAACAAAGGGAGACCGTGGCGCGTCGCTAAGGAAACTCGCGTACTCTACATCGAGGATAACGTATAAGGGATTTCGAGCCGAGTCGTGATGTCCACGTACGCAGCACTCCCGCGTCTTTCGGCACCACTCGCCTTCTTCTGCGCTTCTCTCCTTCTCCTTAAGCTCTCTTTTTCTTTCTCCTTCTGCTATTGTTGCTCGAGGCGTGCTTGCCGTCGTCGTTTTCACTCGCGACGCGATGCCGCCGGACGCGCGATCTCCACGGCGCGGAGCCGCCAAAAACGATCACCAAGTGTCAAGGTTGCCATTGTGCACACGTACGTGGACTACGCGCGCGAGTATTGCGCTCACGCACACTGTCTTCCTACTCCACGTCACCCCGCTCACTTCCCCCCCTCGTTCCCTTTAAGCCACTACCTGCCCGCCCGCTCTCTTCTTTCCCCACCGCCTTAGCGCCCGCCGCCGCGGTACCGCTATCACAACAATGGCATTGGGGGGAAATTACGATACCCGTAGCTTATTTCACGATGACACTGGCCACGCACGTCGCGGCTCACCGCAGCGGCCGATCGGATTCACACGTAGCAAGAAACTTGGCTTCTTCACGCGTCCGGCCCGACGCGTTATTCGCCGCGGCTTTTGTCAGCGAAATTTCGCCGTGGCGCATTCGGCAATCAGCGTTTCGCGAGGGAGTTCCCCCACTAGTTGTTCGGTTCGCGCGGCTGCGCGCCAGCAGCGCGCAGGGCCGGCGTGAGAGCAGTAAGTGGGCGCTCCGTCATACGGCCGTGTTTACAAACAAACGCTCCGGCCGGGACGCCGCTGCTGCTTCGATCGCATGGACGCGTCGCGTCGCGGCGGCGTGATAACCGGCACTTCCTACAACTCACCATTATATCGCGCATACTTATCCTGGTTAACTCAGTGAATTTCGTCATTAATTATCTTTGTCTCCAATTAAGTGAAAGTCTAAAAGAATCACACGCCTTTATATTATCTTCTAATCAACCAAAATAAAAATTCATTTCACTCGATTAGATTTAAATTGACTTTGGTTCGCTCTTTAAATATTAAATAAAATTGTTAGATAAAAAAATGTATTTTACAAAATAATAAATATAAAAAAAAACCAAATACCAAAGTTCGAAATAGATAAATGTATTTTACTATTATTAGTTGTTGCTAATAATCGAGATTATTTAATATAATTTGAAGATTTTTGTAGATCGTAGGCGTTAAAATTTTAGAAATGCTTTAGAATAAATTGTGTTAATCCATTATTTTTTAAATATAATGTTTTAAATATAAAAACTGTTATATAAATATAAATGTTTGGCTTCTCGCGCTATAGCCGCACCTGCATGACGTCATGATCAAGCAACCAATCGGATACCACCGCGATCATACGTACAAACATCTGACGACACATTTACGGCGTCACCCTGAGCAACCTTTGCTTTTTCGACCTAACCTTTTTTGCCTGAGAAAATCAATCCAAACAAACGAGCTAATTATGTCGTAATTTATATTTTATTAATAGTAACTTGACGATACGATATAGCATCAATTTACTTTATTTTTTTTGTCAACCAAGGAGTTGATAAAACTCAGCTGACGCTATATATCGATTATCTTGTAGGTCCAATAAAACGCTTGTGCGTCGTAAACAAAAGCGCGTGATTGGACCGCTCTTTCCCGCCATTTCGTTTCTTACAATTTAAATTCTGATTTGATTGTTTCGTTAATAAAATACTTTTTTTTATAGAATTACTTATTTTTAAGTTATAAATAAAATTTGAATGTAAAAAAATAAGGTCTTTTAAAAAAAATATCGTTTCGTACTCGTTAAAAGGTTCAAGTAAATAAATTAGGAAAATAAAGTGACCAAATATTTCAGTAAAAGACATAATTAAGTAAAAAAATTTCATAATGTTATTTTTTATATAAGAAATGTGATAATCTAAAAAATAGAAACGTGCGATAATGACTACTTGGTATTTTTCAACAATTTAAATGATTTTAAATACAAAGCTTTAAGCATATTTGAATACTTATACAATACACGAATTTTGTACATATATATGATTTTATTAAATTACTTTATTTAAGCGTTCGCAATTTAACAAATCCAATAAACGTATACAAAAGAATCCAATATAGTATATTAATTTTCATACATGTATAATTTTGATAGCAAGTGTTGAAATTTCTTGTTTCTATATTTTAATCGACACGTTTGCTAATCTCTCATTAATATACAAGATTAACGTTGCGGATTTTCGAAGGCTTGGAGAAACGTTTACATATACATCCAAAAAAGTATGTTACTGAAATTATACATATATGTTTCAATTATCTTGAAGAAAAATATATATGTCCAGTAAGATTTTTTATTGCGTATTCATTGTAACATAATAATGATGTAACGCATGATTTCTAAATAAAAAAAGGCAACGCCTGAAATGAGAGATGCATACAAATTCCATCCTTAATCTAAAGCCATGCCTTCGTCGTCATCGTCCTTCTTATCAGGACTAGCGGCCGATGATTGCTTCTTATTCTTGTCATCTTGTCCCTGTTGTGCTTGTTGTCCCTGACCGTTCTTCGCTTCGGACTCCAGAGCGCTGACGAATTCTTCGATGTTTCCACTGGCTGCAGCATTGACGGCGTCCGATCCCAAGCCGAATTGACGGATGACAGGGCCCGCCTGGCCCGACTGCAAAGCAGACCAGAACATTGATAGCGCCTGGGAGAACTGGGGAGACGATAGCGTGGTAGACAGGTTGTCCCCAGGTGGCAAGTGCACGTTCATAGCACTCTCCAAGCTCTCCGTTGTAGAGATCGCCGTTGGGATAGCGTTGGTCAGCTCTGTCGCTACGCCCCTCTGCCGGACAATAAGCTGCGCTGTAGCTGGACGAAAACAACAGACATACCCAGAGAAACTTCCCCAACTGCTCAACAGAGCCAGAGTCTCCGACAGCCAGGAAAAGTTCAGACAAAGGATAGTATTGAACAGTGAGAAAACCATGCCTCTGTCTTTTTTCTAATCTTGCTCTATCACAATATATTGCGGATTAACTAATTAGTTTGGCAACCAGATTGTGACATAACCGAACTTTTAAAAACCATTGTTGCTACTTATTTTCTTTTTTTTAACACTTTGCCTAATCAAAGTACTTCGTATCCAGTAACTTAACAATATATATAAACGCGTATTAGTAACATAATTTCACAATATTGTAGGAATATAATATGTTTAACAGTCTTTCAAAGAAATATTACTACTGAAATTGTGTTGGACTGTGTGTTGAGAGTATAGTAGTTCACTTATAGATTATTAAAACCTTACTGAGTTTCAAAGGTAGAGAAAGGCAAACACAGCTTTGCAAAACATATTAGCTAGGACTTATTTGATCACGGAACTTCTATAATGATATTATCGTCTACAAGCACATAAACTAACACATAAACACAGCTACAGCACATTCCAAAATTCCAATTCAATCTAGATATAATACATTAATTAAATACGAAGTCCGTTATTCCATCATAAACTTTTTTTATAATGGTTTTGTTAGTTTAGGTGTACATATAATATTTTCAATGTTAATTTTCTAGCATCGCAATATATTATACGACAGTTACTAATTATTCACAAATAATGAAGCTAAAAAATTTGCGCTCACTCAGAGACAAAACCATTTTAAACACTTGTAAAATACTGAATGAGTCTGAAAGCTATTCTGCAACTTCTGTTATCAAGAATGGCACTTTATGTTTTCCTGATAGTGATAGTAGCTGTAAAAAATACACAATTAGTATTATACGACAGATAATCTGTACCATGATAAACAATTCCTTGAATTTTGTACATTACACTTTGTTTTTCACGTCATTAAAAATTTCCACATAGATTCTCTTTTATTTGTGGTTGCTTGGTTTCGTCGTTTATTTATTGTGCTTTCAGAATACTACATATATTTTTTATATGTAAACTATGTGAAAGTACTGTTGTTCTTCTGCTCCTCTAATTTTAATCTTGTATATTAATTCTACATAAATATTAATATAAAATAATAACGACAGTAATTTTATGATAAATATTCGATATCTTTTTATCTTGTCATTTGATAAAAAATAATTCGTAATATTTATGCATAATCAATGTTATAACCGATACTTATTTTAATATCTCTTTTATTAATTTATCTCTTTTAGAATTTAAAATGTACTAAACAGATGTGTAGTCTTGCAACTATCATAGGATAAGGATTTAATCTTATCTTTTCATATTTGAAAAAATACGTTACTCTCTGTGTATATATATGTGTATATAAACTAACTCATAAAGATTGAGTTTATCCAGTAAATATTATTGTTATTAAAGATAAATTGATTTAGAAATATTATAATATCAGACATAAAATTTTTTTGAATGTAGATACAAATGCAAACGCAATGTATAATACATATTTCTCGAAGAAATTAATCAAATTTTGTCTAATTGACATTTGATTAATAATTTTGCTAAATAAAGATCCGATTTTTATAAAATATTTAATACTTTAATTTTTGTATTAAAAAATAAAAATGACATGCACATGTTTATAGCAAAGTTAACTTTCCGTAAACGCTTCATAATGCAATTTCAATGTATGATGTTTCATTACTATTGTGATATTCTTAAAAACCATTTATAGATTGTCCCAGAATTATAAACAATATTAATTATTCTTCTTCACAATAAATTTAAAGAGAATGTTCTTTCCTTAATAAAGATGTCATTGCTTTTCTAATTTTACGTATTCTAGATTTTAGTAATTAAGCTAGAAGAGTTCATATTCAAATAGATATAAAATCTAATATAAATAAATAAGGATGATTTTATCCTTTTTTTCTTTAAGTTTAATTTATTGAAAGCTACAATTATTTATTACACAAAAAATATAGATGCTTTGACATTTGTTAAATAAAAATGTGAATTCATCATAAAAAAACCAAAAAATTTATGATGGAAAGACCATTAGGAAAATTTTAGGATACTCTATACAAATGGATACTTTTAACCAGCACATTAAAAACTTATGACAGAGGCATCTTCTACTCACAAAACACTTAACAACATTTAATTTCAATTATCTGCTATCGTTTATTCCATGCAGAGTCAAAGTTCTTCTAATTCAATTATTACAATATTTAAAAAATAGTATGTACATTGCATTATATTTGCATCAAGCACTTGTTAGAAAATTCAATTTTCAATTGAAGTTTCAATTTAATTCAACGGTCAGATTAACTCAATAAAAGATATGAAAAAGCAATATGATATTACCTGCACAGTTGGCTCCGTTCGAGATGGCGTCGGAATTTCCGATAGAAAATTTTGCAAATCGCTAAGTTGTATTCTATTGCTTGGAGCTGCTGCTGTCGCAGCTGGCGTGGACGGAGCTGTTGTTTTCGTTGACGATTTATTATTACCTAGGTAAATACATCATTAGGATATGCTGCTTTATTTGAACAAACAGTTTAAACTCACTCGAAGATTTAGAGTCCGTATTAGGCCCAGGAGTCAACGAATGAGGCGGCCTAGTTACGTTCGTAGTGGCTGGAGTAGATGAAGTTGTAGTGGAAGCCCTTGTACTCTGAACACCATGTGGTCTATTCATTGTACCTAATAAACTGCCCAGACCACCGATTTGACCAACGCCGCCAAACAACTGTATAAGCTGTTGCTGTGACATGTTGTTCAATAGATTTTGAAGATCTCCTTCAGCATTGGTACCACCGCTTCTCTGGGATCCTGGAGTCGGTGGATTATTTAGTACATCGTTAATCTTTCTGCAGTGCTCCTCATCTTTATCAGTTTTGAGATCCTATACAAGGAAAATATGCATTTTGCAAAATCATGTTTAATATAACAAACTGTACATTCATATGTGGAAGCTGAAGACAACATATGAAGGACAGAGATATATGTGGTCTGTTACTTTCTCCATCACATATTGCATAATAGAAGGAAAGCAACTGTCTTCTCTTACCAATGTCTTTAATGAAAGCATATGGCATCTATTATATAAGTTTATGTTTAATATACAGACAGCTGATTATAACATCAGATAAATACCAAATGCTTGTTAAGTATACAAGGCAGATATAAATCAATTTATTTCAATAAATGCAATAATTTTGTAATTGTACATTACAAAATTTATTTTATATACCTGTAACCAAAAGAAGAACTTTTTATTCGATGACTTAAACCTCAAAAGATACACTCTGCCAGTCTTACACTGAGAAACATGTTTAAATTCACAATCATCAGGGAAGATAATTAAGTCCTGAAAAACATATAGTACTTTAGATTATGGAGCACATATGTTGTATATTAATACAAACGGCAAATCAAGTGTACAATAAAATAATTAAGAGGTGTAGTTTCTCGGCGCGCAGAATTGAACGAAAAACGATTTTTCGTTCACAAGATTTTTTTAGAAATTTATTAAGAGCAAGAATAATCATCGTACGTCTTCAACTACTCCGGTCGTTCGGTCCTTCCAGCAGAAATGCATCAATGAGTCGTCAGATTGATAGACGTAGAGCTGACCCTTCCGCGTATCCGGATAAACCATCTTTCCTTTCACGGTCATTTTGCCAGCTTTGAATTCGACAAGATTTTTCGAGGCACCGCGCGAAGCGTTATTACCGAAAAGTGCACCGCTTGACATGTTTGCCGATATAAAACGAAAATTTCCGTACAACGAGACCCTCGAACAGCCGACTCACTCCTACTTGCTCGATTAGCTCCTACTTTACTTATGATATACGATGGGTGCGTTCAGAGCTTCAAGGAAACGCTATTAGCTCTCTCTTGTGTCGTTCTATCCTTGTCTTAAATCTAATAAACGATGAAGATAGAATGATATCACATGATACACACAGCGCTAATAGTATCTCTACGAACGTACTTGATACGAGCGTTTACGAGATCAGCCGATGACATTGCATTTGATTGCATTTCAAGATGGTAGTGCGAACAGACCCATATAGGGAGCTTTCCAACAAGAGACACAGAGTGACACGGTGTGACACGGTGAATCGTTGCATCCTTGTTGTTCGCCAATGTTAGGCCGGAATCAGACTACGCATTGAAGATTGAGAGTAGCTGCGTTCAGCAGACTCAACAGTTTTGCAACCGTTTTATGATTGTCTGCTGAGATAGGACCATTCTTCTAGATCTAAAAGTATGATCCAATCAGCGCGAAGGAAACTTCCAACAGTTGCAAAACAAACGTTCTGCTGAACGCAGCCATTGAAGATTGAAGATTGAAATTTGACCAATAAGGACAAAGAAATTTTAGCTCCTTTCATTTTGATTGGTCAAATTTGAATTTGTCAATCTTCAATCTCAATCTTCAATGCATAGTCTGATTCCGGCCTTAAACAAGGATGAGGTGATCGCTGTGTTGCACAGTGTCGTTTGTTGGAAAGCTCCCATAGATTGAGATTGAAGATTGAAAAATTCAAATTTGACCAATCGAAATGAAAGGAGCTAAAATTTCTTTGTCCTTATTGGTCAAATTTCAATCTTCAATC